AAGATCTTTAAAAAAAAATAAAAAAAAATAAAAAATTTCATGACTCCATAGGATGTAGTTGGAAAGAAAGACAAATCTTAATCATGTTAAGATTTGGGGTTGTGTGCTAATAAGCAATATTTGTTTGATAACAATCTTGTGGGATATCCTTAAATTAACTTTTGGATATCGCTTCTATAAACCAACTAACAAATGTTGTTTTGTTGGGTAGTTCATTGTAATCCTACAATGTGATTTGCCTAAGAGCAAATGAACGAGAGATAGAACTCAAAGAATGGGTTCTTTGAGAGACAAGATGATAATCAAGAAATATAACAACCTAGTTCCTATACCACAAGCTACAAGGTAGTCAAGAAGGATTTATAAACCGTCTCAGTTTAATGGTTTGAACTTTATGACTATGTCATAGAGTTGCACCTCTTAATTCGAAGAAATAAGAATGAAAATCCTTATGACTACATTGAGTGTATATATGATATATACTCAAGGAAATGGTAAAGTACCATTTGACCCGAAATAATGAAACCTTCATAAGCTAATTGGTAGCTTAAGGTAACTACAATAAAAAAGAATGGTTGACTTTGAAGAAACCATCTTTGACGTAGTCTTGGTTTCAATTAATTCGAAGATAGCTAGCTACAACTAAATGGTGATTCAATGTTTGGACATAATATGGGTTTCCGAAACCATTATTAAGATGGTCTTAATAATATATGTCTAAAACTATGAATCACAAGACATGTAAGTTGTAGAGATCCATCCATCATGAATCCAAGCAAGCTAGTGGGAGCTATGAGCATCTTATGAAAAAAGGATCAAATCGTTTGATTTCTCATAAAGATGTAAATGAATCTTTTGTTTACTAGGTTTACAAAAGATTAGTGGGAGTTAATCATGTTCCTAAAATTTAAATATATATTTGATATATTAATTTTGGAAATGAAAAGAATTCTTTTTCGTTAAAGTTATGACTTTAAAACATTATATGAAGATAGAATGTATATGGGAGATATAGTCTATATACATGGGATGGAAATCTATAATGATATATTTCATGATATAATTGGATTATATCAATCCCTAATAATAGACAATAGATGCTAGGAAGTTTCTCATATGATGATAAACTTCAATTAGAAGGACAACTCTAGTGAGACTAAGAAGTTGCTATTCTCAAAGAGAACGTACTCTTTGACTCCTAAAGAAATAATGCGTAAATAGAATCCTTTATGCATACGCATAAAGGTGATTTATGTATTTCATATTGTATGAAAAACATTGATATGAGTTGTACCTAGAACGGTACAAGACGATATCAGTGCAAGCCCAGGATCAGAACCATGGCAACTGTCAAGTGAGTCCTTAAGTATTTAAGAAATACTAAAGGATAGATTCCTCAAAGAATGAGGAAGAATTAGAGTAACGTAAAGGAAGCGTAAATGTATTAGATTATGAATCTAATCCATCATTGGATGTTTCTTCATTATGAATGACGAGATAATCAGATATCTCTTTATTATGACTAAAGAGATATTTGGATGGAAACATTAAAAGTAATGACTTTAGTATGTTCCATTATGAATGCAAAATATATATTGCCATATAGAAGCTTACAACATTGTTGTTTGGATGGGAAAGTTCATTTATGAACTCTCTATTCGGTTCCAACCAGAAAGTGTCTCTAGTGTACCAACACTACGACACTAATGGGGCGATAGCTCAAGCCAGGGAATCAAGGTCTCATCAAGATCCGAACTCAAATGAGAGACTGAACCACATGATTAAGAATCATGTATAATGGTGACGTCGTTATTCTCAAGGTTGCTTCTATGGATAACATATAGATATCCATTGTCTAGGCCTAATATTCAGCCATTTATGAAATGACTACAGAAGAGGTATCATCACTGATGACCAAGCTGATTGGCTCTAGTGCAAGTGGGAGATTGTTGGAAATGTGCCCTAAAACCAATCATATGATGATACTTTACGGACATTTCACAAGTTAAACTAATGTAGTTTAAATATAAAGGGCAAAGATTATTGTTTTAAGCCGTCTCATGTAAATATTATATGCTTAAACGATAAGTCCAACGAATATGTGATTGGGAGAATGCAATCTAAAGAAGTTAGATTCATGAGACCATTCTTTCGTATACATATCCTAAACGTTCCTGATCATAGGATTGCCAATTGGGCATTGACAGTCCGTTAAGATCAGTACGTGTTGTGTCTTCTCTCAGGGAGAGTGACTAGTCTCGAGTCATTGGTGTGTGTGACATCAAGACAAGTACGTAGGTGCTCAATAGAGAATGAGTTCACTAAACACGATCAACGAAGAGTTCTCATATTCATGTCACATGAGAACTCATGGTTGGGATAATGCAAAATAGTCCTTTGACCTGAGGCATCATAGTTGTCTTGTGGTTAAGTCCTTGATCTTTGATTATGTCAAAAGTCACTCCAAAATGAGGGTGTCCACGACATAGTTGGGGTTAAGCCACTTAGCCATGGAGGCAAGTGAATGCGCAACAAGGGATCTCTAACCTTCAAACTGTTTGAGGGAGAATACTCTATGATATAATTAAGAATCTCTGGCCAGAGTATGAATGAGATTTAGGAAGTCATTCCAAATCACATTCAAGGTAATCATATAAGCACACGAATCACATTGGATAGTAGACATGAATAAACTATCAAACCAAACAATGTGGTCAAGAGTATTGTATTAGAGAAAGACCGTATTGCATTTGTAATCCTAAACTGAATAGGTTCTCCACCTCTTCTGATTAGCTTGGGTAACCATGATATGCTGCTAGGTGTCACTCATGGTTTGTGGAAGCCCTAAACGTGTATAATCACTAAAGGGAGAATTGAAAGTAAGTTTCAATTCACAATCGATTTGAAATGGTTTTAATCGCCCACTGCCTCGCTAAAAGGAACCTAATGGATCGTACATCGTGTAAGGTGGATATTGAAGAAACAATGGAGATGAGTAAGAATAATTAAATGGTTTAATTGTTTATGGCAAGGATTAATTAATATGTTAATTAATCAAACGAACAAGTTCGTTAAAGACCTCGGGATAGTTTTGGACCTTAAGGCCCAATGGGCTTCGAACGTCAAGCCCATTGACTTAAGTTGTATGACAATTTAATGAATAAAGATTCACAAGGGCCCAAAAGCCCAAATCCCTTTTGTGGCCGGCCATTTGATATGAATTAGGGTTTTTGGTTCTTTAGGTCACTTAAAGAAGTGACTATATAAAGAACTTTATAGCCAAAATTCATTAAGGGTTTCTTTTGGAGAAAATTGGAGAGAACATGTCTCTCCCTTTCTCTCTAAAGAGGCCGCCCCCCTTGGAAGGATTAGCTTGTAATCTTTCTCCTCCAAGGTCACTCATTTCTTCATCAATCTTACCTTGGTGTGGAGACTTAGAGGTTCTCAATTTTGGGAACTTGGAGAACCATTTCATCCATCCAAATCCATAGATCTAAGATGCAAGGAATGAAGGCCCTCTCTTTGGGTGATTAGCCTTTGCTTATGCAAAGAGGAATTTACAAAGGTATAATTTCTCAACTCACTTTGATTTGAGTTGAGTCTTGGTTCACCAATCTATTAGGCTTTGAATTTCATGGTTAATGTTTTGTTTTTAAGTGCATGCAAGCATGATTCCGCCTTTAATTGTTAATTGCATGCTTATAGATGTTGCTTAAATGAACATTTTTCACAAAATCATCCTTCAAGTACATTATTAAGACATTTTGTGAAAACATGTTCAGTGGTGAGGGAGTCCCTTTTATAAAATAAGGGCTCGCTCCTTAATACATAAGTGATGGGCTAAGTCCCCCAAGTATTTTTCATGAGGCCCAGTTGAGGCCCTATATATGGTACCTAATGTAGTCCCCCAAGTCTTTGGTCATAGAATCTATTGGCTGGAGACTTCAAATTGAATCTGTGTATGGGCCGAAGTGGCGGTTGTTCGGAGACGGTATTTGTATACCCTGCACTGAAGCTTTGTAGGTGAAGCTTTGCAAGTGAAGCTTTGAAGCTAGAGCTCTATAAATGAAGTTTTCGAAGCTGGAGCTTTTGTAAATGAAGCTTTTGAAGCTGCTTGACATGAGTGATGCTCATGAATATTTATGTTGATTGACATGAGTGATGCTCATGGATGTTGTCATGAGTGATGCTCATGAATGTTAACATGAGTGATGCTTATGAATGTTGACATGAATGATGGTTATGAATGTTTATGTATGATTGTCATGAGTGATGCTCATGAATGTTTATGTATGAATGACATGAGTAATGCTCATTTATAATTTGGAGTACTGGGCGTACTTTTGATCACCTGGTTGGTGGCATGAAGGAGAGTATGGGTTGTACATTTCATCACCCGGTTGGTGGCCTGAATGGCTAGTTGCCAAATGATATTAGAGTACGGGTTGTACATTTCATTGCTTGGTTGGTGGCAAGAATGGCTAGTTGCCAAATGATATTGGAGTACGGGTTGTACATTTCATCACCTGGTTGGTGGTAATAGCGGCAGGTTGCCGAATAATTTTGGAGTACTGGGTGTACTTTTGGTCACCTGGTTGGTATTTTTTTTTTGGGCTTATGGGCCTTCGCCCTCCACAACATGCTAGCCCATTTATTTTGGGCTTTGCCTTTTTTATTATTTTTTTTATTTAATTTTTTTTTAACCTCTGACGGGGTTTATACAGATGTCTCTGAAAGATAAGGAAAATAAATTACATCATTCAAAAAGTTTCGACACAAAAGCTTTGACAGTTGCAGATCGTTGGTGCGTACTGCACTTACTGCGTACTAGGTTGTTGCAGATCTTTCCCTTCTCTTTATTTTTCTTTCTTTTGGCGATAGAATAATGCCATTTCCTTTTTTGCTTTTGCTTTTTGCTTTTATTTCTGCTTTTCCATCGCATTCTCTCCGTCTCTTCACCTACAGACAAAAGGAATCACGATATAAATAATAATAGGAACCTTATCTTTTTAAAGTGGGCATCTTCTTGGTGGTCGACAAAAGCAAAAGTAACAGCAGGAGAGAGATTGTAAAGGATATAAGTAGGCTTGAGGGCATTATCACTGACGCCAAAGAGAGAAGCGTCGTAAAAATGATGTTCAACGTGCGTCTTCTGCCCATCTGACTTCCTGGCAGGGTCCCCTTTCACCACCTTGGGTCTCGTGAAAGAAAGGAATCGTTACAGCTCACGGGAAAAGACATCTGCTTTTGCCAGATCAAATCTGATGCATTGGTATCAGCTGCAATGATCAAATCATGAGAAAGGCTGAAAAAAGGTCAGCAATGTAACAAGTGGCGGAATGGCTCCTGAAGTGCCAATCATAACTTTATTATTATCCACAATAGAAAGGCTGAAAAGGGTCGTAGCTGCATTTTCCCGTGCTTCCATCCCTCCATTCTTAAGAACATGAACAATACCAGGAACTGCTCCAGAGGATATGATACTTCCTTTGTTATCTTCACATAAGGAAAGGATGAGGAGTGCTGTTACAACATGTAGAAAGCGCAGGAGGCAGTGGCAGAGCCATTCCTCCTCCTCCTTCATCTTATCTTCCTCTTGCTGCTCCATCATGCCTCCAATAACCACATTCATCGTCTGCCCAAATCTCATATCTTAATTAATACGCAAGTCTTCGAGGAAAGAAATCATGGTAGGCATTTTCCGGCGGTCTCTCTTTTTCCCAAACAATATTTCAAATAACTGTAACCACCATCCATCAAAAGTTCGACCTCCGTTGTCTCGTCACACCAGATCCATCAGTATTTGAAAACCTCTGAAATTGCTTTCAAGATGGCCTCTTGAGGCGGGCCCTAGTCGTCCTCCAACAAATCCGACAAGTTCTCGTTGTGGGCGTGGTTGAGGAGATGATGATAGAGCTTGCTCTGGCGTATTCGGTGAGCTTCGAGAGAGTGACCGTGAGATCGTACTTTTTGGTGAGCGTGAGAGTGACCGGCACTGAGAGAATGGTAGAGTGCTGCTTGCGTCTGCGAGGCGGAGTCCAACTACGCCGACGAGGGCTGTAGCTTTTGCTTCGGCTTCTGTACCTGGCCATTGTTGCAGCTAGGACTTGGACCCTGAGCCCGTAAAACCTTAACCCGAGGTCCCCAATCTGATAGTGAAGAAGAACCGAAAGGAACGAGCGCTTGCTGTTTGTGTGGGGTGTTTTGGGTTTCGGATTTGGAAGGAGGAATTGAGTGCGGTGCAGATACCATCTAATGATGCGCGCTCTTTAACCTTTTCCTACTGTAGGCCCCAAAGCCATCGCCTTGACAGTATAGATCTGATGGACGGCTGAGATCAGTTGGAGGTCAATGCCCAATTGGTTGTGTTGTCTGTCTCTGTGATTTGCTTGTGGAATTTGAGGCTATTGGTCAGCGGATTCAAGAGAAATGCACCTGAGCTTCTCTTTTTCTTTGTAGATTGAATGGGTGTGTCTCTGAATGTGGGTGTTGGGTTTCTGCAAATTCACGGCGGATGTGAAAAAGTGAAAGAAAATTGCACAACTTTTTGTATCGTTTCCCACATACGGCACCAAATGTTGATGCATAAAACCGGAGGTCTTGGAACAATGTAAATCCGACTGTGAATCTGCAAGTAATGTAAATAACACAAGAAGTATTGTGGTTCACCCCAAGGTTTGGGCTAGTTCCACACTGATTATGTATTTATTTGAGGGAGAGAGAGCTATGAGAGTGAGAGCTTTGAGAGGGGTGAGAAGGCTTCAGAATTGGCCTCCTCTAATTGTGAGGGTGAGGGGTCAATTTATAGAATAAGGACTCCTCACTTATTACATATTTTCCCCTTTCTTTATCACATAATTACATTTAAGTTCCCCGAGTATTTATACGAGATCTAAATACGATGCCCTAAATATGGTATAAACACCATTCAATCAATAGGAACATGGATTTTGGTTCCTTCTTTTTCATCCCAGAATGTTGTCAGTTGTAAATGGGTATTTAGAATCAAGAAGAAGCCCGATTGAACCATTGACAGTTATAAAGCCCGGCTTGTTGCCAAGGGTTTTCATCAAAAAAAGGGTTTGGACTATCAAGAAACTTTTAGTCCTGTGGCAAAGCTTGTAACTATCAGAATTTTGTTAACTTTTGCTGTGCAATTCAATTGGTTTCTGCATCAACTTGATATTAGTAATGCCTTCCTTCATGGTGATTTAAAAGAAGAAGTATTCATACATCAGCCACCTGGTTTCAGTTATCCAAACTTTCCAAATCATGTGTGTTAACTCAAAAAGTCCTTGTATGGATTCAAATAGGCTCCAAAGGCATGGTTTGATAAACTATTTCAAGCTCTTAAGTCCCTTGGTTTCACTCAATCATCATCTGATGCATCCCTATTTGTTCTCAAAGTTCCAGTTCTTGTTATTGTCCTTGTATATGTGGATAACATATTGGTCAGTGGTCCAAATTCATCAGTTTGAAATCTTTTCATTAAGAAATTAAGCTCTTTGTTCCCTGTAAAGGACTTAAGTCCCTTACATTATTTCTTGGGTCTTGAGGTTCAACGAACCAAAGAGGGACTATTTCTACATCAAGGCAAATATCTGATGGACTTGTTACAAAAGACAAAAATGGAGGGTGCTAAGCCTTGTTCTACTCCTCTTGGCACTGCCAAACTAGATCATAGTGGTACACATTTGCAAAACCCAACAAAGTATAGATCTATTGTGGGAGGCCTACATTATTTAACTTGGACTCAGCCTGATATCTCATTTGCAGTTAATCAAGTGTACCAATTCATGCATACTCCTACTGAATTACATATGCAGGCAACCAAGAGAATACTCAGATTTCTCAAAGGTACATCTTCACATGGTATATGGTTTCATAAAGGCCCTCTCACTCTATCAACCAACTTTGATGCAGACTGGGCTGGCTGCATTTTGATAGGAGATCCACGAGAGGATTTTGTGTGTTTCTTGGTTCAAACGTAGTCAGCTGGAGTGCTAAAAAGCAGCCTACAGTAGCTTGTTCTTCTACTGAGGCTGAATATCGATCCCTGGCTCACACTGCCCTTGAAGTTACATGAATCTGTAAAGTTTTCCGAGATTTTGGTTTCTCCTTCTTTGTTAAACCTACCATATGGTGTGATAACATTTATGCTATCTCCCTTGCATCAAATCCCATTTTTCATGCGAGAACTAAACATGTGGAAATTGATTACCACTATATAAGTGAGCTAGTTCTTGCAAATCTAGTTATAGTTCAGTATGTTTGCAGTCAGGACCAGATAGCTGATATTCACACCAAATCCTTGTCTAAGAATCAGTTTCTCTTTCTTCAATCCAAGCTTTCTCTTGGAACTCCCAGTCTTTCCAAGCTCAACTTAAGGGGGTGTAAAGATAAAGATGCCCAGTCATGATAGTTCATATAGTTTAGGTAGCCAATTATTCTTGTTACACCTGTATAGTTTTGGTTAGTTTGTTATATTTGTTACAGGTTGTTAGAGGAAGTTTTTGTACATGGCCTTAACTATATATATACCCCAAATGTAAGTGTAATTATCAAGTAATGAGAAGAGGTTGTTAGAGGAAGTTTTTGTACATGGCCTTTACTATATATATACCCCAAATGTAAGTGTAATTATCAAGTAATGAGAAGAGGATTATTCAGTAAAACCATTCTTTTGTTTCTTTTGGTTTCTTTAGCTATGACACAGATGTGTCAGATCAGAAATAGACTTCGAGCAAATGGAATATGCAAATAGAAGCGAAATTGTTACTATGTAGCAGTAATAGTATTAACTAGAAAATACGTCTGCGTGTTGCTGTGGGAACCAACTATTTCAAACGTAATTGGATGAATAAAACACATTTAAATTGAATAAATTCAATACAATTATGAACAAACAAAGAGATAAATGAGTGAATGAGGTCGATAAGATAAGCAGTTTTGCTTTTATATACATTCATGTGAGCTGGCATATAAACACACTGTACAATGAGTGGGAAGAAACTGAACGTCTTTGATTTGAAAGAGATGGTTACCCAAAAAGTTCTGTTTCCTTAAGAAACAGAACAAACATGTAGTTCACACATATAATATGTGTCTTGCAGTGTAGGCAGCCATTTCAACAGGTAATTAAAAACAGAAAGTGTTGAGGACTTGTTCTAGTAGCTAATTTTGTAACCTCATCTGTTCAAACGCCAAAAATAAGTAGGTGGTCTGTTTCCATACGAAACTGAAGAAACAGAAGCAAGCTACAGTTTACACATATTTTGCCCCTGCAGTTAAGATGGCAAAATATATGCCCTGCAGCCTACATACCTCACTTAGCAGTTAGCAAAACACAGAAAAAATGGTGTTTGAATAGGTAAGTCGTCAAGCATGGCATGGTGTGCATCATTCGATGACGGAGAGCGTGGCTATTCACTTTTTCTAAGACCGAACATCTTCGACACTATAGCAAAAAACATAAATCATAATGTAACAAAGGCAGCCATTATGGTCGCCATTCAGGCATGTGTTGATACTCATAACTGTGTTCACTTATCCATATTATATTTGAATATGCATGAGGATAAATGGTTGATACTCATAACTGTGTTCACTTATCCATAATAAAATTTCAAAGGATGAAACTTTAATTACCAAGAAACCAATAATGAAAACTAATTATTGAAAACAAATAACGCACATATACCTGTCAATCTATTAAATAAAACCGACCCATACTCTGACACCAAAAAAGGTAAAACTACATAAGTTAAAGGTCAGTCCTTTGCAAAACCAACAATTGCATATACCAAAAAATGAAATAAAAACAAAATCTAACAACCAAAAAATGTGTATATGCAGTAGCAATCATGTGAGAGTTCATTCATCGGCTAAAATTTGAAATTTCAGATTGACCAATTACACCATTTCTATAAAATTTCAGTTATGGCATTAGTATTGAGCAAAATTAATATGTTAGGACAGAACCAATTTCTGACATATGTCAACAATCCATAAAAAGGGATCCTTATTCAACAATATATTTTTTTTTATACCAAAAACGAAGCAATGAAATAAATGTTTTACTTTGAAATTTCAACATAGACTTAGTTCAGACATTAACAACTTACTTTGAAATTCCTCTCACGGTATGTGACTACAATATTCGTTGACGATTGTTGTAGAGTCGACATTAGGTGTACAACTCTTTGACTAAGTCATTAGACACAGTACAAAAGCTTACTTTCCATGAGCTTTGCATGTAACTCACAAATTCAGAACTACATGTGTCATTTATGTGTCCTCAGCTTTCATTGCATAATCACTGCATTAACCAAATCCAAAAAAGAAAAAAAAATGTGACTCTCTCTCTATGGCTTTCTTACTACACAAAAATATCTCTTAGTTAAAGCATGCCACACATCATCACATTGCTATTATATGAAGTATATTCCTCAGTGGCAAGTAATATACTCTCCTTAGCCCAAGATGATATGAAATTGGTCGAGTACATTGTTCTAGCCATTTGGATCAATAAGCTCAAGTTTGCATTGTGCAAAACCCTTAATACTCAGACATATGAAATCCAATCTTCCACTTTACAAATCACATATGGTAAAATAATAGCTCTGAAGAAAC